TGGGGGTAGGTGCGTTGGAGTCAGTGAGACTGGCTCAGGATAAGGCAGGGTTCAGAGCGGCTGTACACAGGGCCACTGAGGAGCAGGCGACTTGCTGGTAAATAACAACAGTAACAACAAAGCCAGTCAGCCTTCCATTTCTGTTCTATTTTATTGATTTATCCTTTACTTCCACTTTGTATATGTCTTTAGAATAATCAGCAAATAGCACAGGACTGAGGGTGACTGGAAACCTAATAACTAGTGTTGAGCTAGGTGGACTGTTAGAGGCAAATTTGAGATGACTTTCTGATGCAGAGTTAAGTGCTGGGCTGCTAACTCAAAGGTTGTAGGTCCGAACCCACCTAGAGGCACCTTGGAAGGCTGCTTCCTAAAGGCCAGCTGGGGAAAGCAGTGAGCTATGTAGGCACATGTGGGGCCACCCTGAGTCAAAATCAACTCAATCACGACTACATTTAAAAAAAAAATTATTAGAATTTTATTAAATGAGACATCAATATGTTTTAATTCACCCTTTTGCTTTGCAGATAAGGAATCTGGGGTGGGGGTGGGGTGAGGTGATTAGCTGACAGGTATAAAACTGATGAGCAAAGAAGAGAGTTTCAGGATGTAGAACCAAGATCACCCTTCTAAGTCACCTTCACGGTGCAATCTGTGACTCTGCTTAGCAAAAAAAGTTGAATAAGTGTGGCCTTCTTCAAAATTTAACAGCTCAGCAGAGACATCCCTGCCATGGTTCCTGGACACACAGGCTGGTAGTAGATCCGTCCAACAGCTTGGATCAGGTGGACCTTAGTCTTTAAACTGATATTACTGATTACCAGCACTTTGGAGAGGTCCTAGACAACAGATGTTCCCAGTGCAACATGCCTTTTGATTTCCTTTTCCCTCCTTTTCATGTTTTTTTAAACATAGAAAATATTTTAATTTTTTTCATTGATTCACATTTTCTTCCCCTCTTCCTTCCCCCCTCCCAGTCCTCCCTGTAACGCATCCCCTAGTTCCAGATTGTTGTTATAATGTCTAATCTTATATTCCTTTCAGACAGTTCTTCTTCTCATCTGACCTAATGCAGTGTTCGTTGTCTATCCACTCTTTACCATGCTCTCCCGAAGCACCGAATCCCAGTATGTTGTTTTATTACAGCAGTATTATGCAGTATTTGTCCTTTTTGTGACTGAGATATTTTACTCAGAATAATGTCCTTCAGGCTCCCCCATGCTGTGTAATGTTTTGAGTTCACTGTTTTACACTGCTGCGGAATATTCCATTGTGTGAATGTACCATAGTTTTTCTTTTTCTAATTGATATTTTAACGGAAGTTTACAGAAAACTTGGATTTCCATTTATTCATTGTTACACATTTTCCTCCCTACCCCGCCCCTCTCAGTTTGCTTTTCTCTTAAAAAGATTCTTTTTTTTGTTGCACAATTTCCTCCCTTTGCCCACCCAGTCCACTTTGCTATGCACCTCTTATTCTGGACTGTTGTTGTTGATTGTCTTCAAGTCGAGCATGACTCACAGCCACCTTATGAACAAAAGGCCTGAAGCCCCTCTACAACTATCGACATTTATCAAAGTTCACAGAGTTTCCGGAGGCATGTTATTTAGGAAGTGGATGCCACTCCTGCTTCCAAACCTGTCATAGGATGTTATTGTTGTTATGTGCCATTGAGTTGCCTGTGATGTATAGTGACCCTATGTACAGCAGCTCTGAACACTTCCCTGTCCGGAACCAGTCCCATTAATTCTGACACACCAACCTCCATGGTCCCAGTTACTGTATCAATCCATCTCTAATCAGGAGAGGCATCCACTTCCAAAGCAACATGCCTCTGAAACTCTATGAACTTTGATAAATGTCCTTGGTTGTAGGGGGGCTTCAGGCCTTTTGTTCATAGGGTCGCTGTGAGTCACGCTCGACTCAAAGGCAATCAACAATCAACAACAACATTTCTTTCAGACAATTCTTTCTCTCATCTATTTCAATGCAGTGTTCGTTATTTCTCCCCTCTTAGTTTCTTCCCAAACCCCATGCCAGTCCTGTTTTATAACAGTGGCATTATGCAAAGTTTCTCCTTTTGTGACTAAGATATTTCGCTCAGCATAATGTCCTCCAGGGTCACCCATTTTGTATAATATTGCATGAGTTCCTTGAGTTTCAATGCTATGTAGTATTCCATGTGTCAATATACCACAGCTTCTCTATCCATTAATTTAGTGTTGGGCACTTGGGTTGCTTCTATCTTTTTGCTCTTGTGAATAACGGAACAATAAACATGAATGTGCATTTATCTGTTTGGGTGGCAGTTCTGGTTTCTCTAGAGTCTATTCCCAGTAGTGGAATTGCTGGGTCAAATGGTATTTCTATTTCCAACTTTTTGAGAAAGCACCACACTGCCTTCTAGAGTGACTGCATCAGAATATACCATCATTTTTCTATCCATTCATTTGATGGGCGCATAGGTTGCTTCCATCTCTTTGCTTTTGTGAATAACGCAGCAATAAACATGAATGTGAGTGCATTACCTTTTTAATGACCTTTTGCTTTCTTCATGTATATCTTTGATGTCATCCCACAACTTGCCTGGTCTTTAGTTTTTAGTATTCAATGCATCCCATCCGTCTTGAAATGATTTTTAAATTCAGGTGAGATAAACTCAAGGTCAAAGTCTGGCTCTTGTGAACTTGTTTTCATTTTCTCCAGCTTCAATTCGAGCTTATATAGAACAGATGGTCTGTTCCACAGTCGGCCCCTGGCCTGGTTCTGACTGCTGAGTTGGAGCTTTTCCACCACCTCTTTCCACAGATGTAGCCAATTTGAATCCTGTTAATTCCATCTGTTGATGTTCAGGTGTTTAGTCATTGTTGCTGTTGTTGAAAGAGGTATTTGCAACAAATAAATTGGTCTTGGGACAAGGAACTAAGGCTTACCTTGGAATCTCACATCTCAGCCCCTCCTGATACCCTATAATTGCCTTAAAAACTATGCTATTCTGTGAGATCTGGTGATTGCCAACCTTCCCTTGCTGTAAGATGTTTTTCTCAGATTTGCCTGAAAACCTGGTCTGAATCTAAACCACTGTCAATTATCCTGGAGCGTGCTTCACTAGTCATAACTGAGAGCTGACCTTTCCAAACAGGAAGTAAAGCTATCTAGCCGACAGGAGAGTCGAACCACAGGACCTTACTACACAGTACATATGCACCATCCCATAATAAGTGAAGTGTCTTGAACCAGAAGGCTCTGCGGCAGCATTCATCTGGGAGAGTCAGACGAGCACAGCCTTATCATTATCCCCCCTATACGGGATATTTCCAGAAATTCCTCACCCTCCTTCATGAATAATCATAAAGTCTCTTCTCACCTAAATCTTGGTAAGCCCCAAATTATTTTATCCAGTTAGTCATGTTGTGATGTCCCTCCATGTCTTCCTTTGCAAAACAGTTTTGCTTCTGGAAAACCTCTGTTCTGCAGTGCAGCACAGAAAGGTGTGCCCGAGCACTGAGCCGTCCTCACTCCTGCGCTCTGCCTTCTATACCCCTGTTGACTTGTTTGTGACCTCTGTGTTCTGGGCATCCCCCACTCTGAGACCTGTCAGACAGGCCCTCCCTCTTGTCATTGTTCAGAAGAGATGCTCTGCTAGCTTGTCTGGTCTCGAGGCTCCCCGGGTCCTAGAACTACGTTTCCAACAGGAATCCACATGTCAAAGACATTTGATAATTACTGATTTAAAGTTAAATAAATGTGTTTTAGGAAGCTCATTTACCTCATCTGCCAACACGCATTAAAACCAGCCGCCATCAAGCTTACTCTAACTCATGACAACTTGTGTCTAAGAGTAAAGAATTTCATAGACTTTTCAACAATTGATTTTTGGAAGTAGACTGCCAGGCGTTTATTAGATGCCTTGGTTGGACTCAAACCTATAAACTCAGTTAGCAACTGAGTTGTTGTTGTTGTTATGTGCCGTCGAGTCGCTTGCGACTTATAGTACAGCAGCCCTAAACCCTGTTCTATCCTGTGCCAATCGCACTGCCTCTGACACACCCATCCCGATTACCCCAGTCACCGAATCAATCCACCTCATAGAGAGCCTTCCCCTCCTGTGCTGTCCCTCCACCATTTGTACCACTGCCATCTTTAAAGGTTGCATGTAGCAGGAGGGGCCCTTCCTGGCCTGGAGTCAGCGACTGGTGTCTTGCGTCTGCCCTGGAGCCCTGTCCTGGGGCTGGTGGGCCTGCCTCTGCCTGGCCTGGGCTGCAGAACACTCTCTGGCTCCACCTGCTCTTCTGCTTACAGGTGCCCTCGCCTCTCTGCAGGACTTCAGCTCCTGTTCAGTCTCCATTGCCCTTTTATTTCCATTTACTTTTGCAACACTTTCCACCTCACATATTAGAAGTGTGTTTTAGGTGCCTCACAACACTTCTGGGTCTTTCTGTGAGTTTCAGAAGCCAGTGTTTTTTGTGAAGTGATAGAATTGCTATCTGGTGGGTCTCTCTCGGCTCTCCCTCATCCCCTCCCCTCCTGCCTCCCTCTCTTCTCAGAGGAAACAGGAAAGGAAGTACCCCACCCAATCCCACTGGTCCCTAGGTGGGGCAAGGGTATGACCAGTCTCAGGAAAAAAGGTTGGGTCCACCTTGACTGTCCAGGAGTGTATCCCCCCTCATTTCTCTTTTAAGTCTTATCTCCTTCCTCAACCGGCTCCTTTGTGTTACCTTCATAAGCCTTTTTTACTTGTTTTGCTAAATTGCCACAGCATGTACATCTGTTTCCTTATTTACAGTCACCTCACTTCACCCCCTCAAATACTAGCGGGTGGTGAGATACAAAGAACACTAACTTTAGCACATTTCACTTTTCAGTAAATGTATCCAGGTGTGTGGCCATCCCCACCCACCCCTCACTCCCACGCTGGCACCCTCCAGCACATCAAGGGATGTGGGGAAATAGAGGTGGTGGGCAGAGGGCTCCGCTGTGCCCCTCCTCCCCCCTACAGGCTGGCCCAGGTGTCCCCTGCTGTCATCGTGCAGGAGCCTCTGGAGGCCCCAGGCGGAACCAGGGCCCTGCCCCCAGCTTCCCGTCTCAGAGGCGGATACTTTCGCTTTCCTTTCCCCGCTGGCCCCCTGTCTTCTGGCCCCACAGATCCTCTTCCTGGCCTCCCACCTGCCCTGGTTCCCGGCTCACAGCAGCACCCGGCTCAGGTGGGTGTGGGCCCTGCCCTGTCCGGCCTCAGCTGGAGGTTGCAGCGCCCACTTGGGAGCTACTGTGGGGGCGGGGGTGTCAGCTGTGGACACTCACCTCTCTGTCAGAGAGTGTTTGCTAAAGAGATGGAAGGGCTGACAGGGTCCCTGTGTGTCCACGTGGACCAGAGAACCCCTAAAACGACAGGGGAGGCAGGCACACTCCTCTGCTCCTGAGGGGGCACCCCTGTCCTCCACCCTCGTCCTTGCTTGTTGATCTTGATCCGGGCCCACCAGGGGCAGCTCACGATTTACCAGATGGGCCTCAGGTGCAGAGAGTGAGGAAGGGTGGACGAGAAAACAGGAGAGCAGGTGTGATCTCTTCCCTGGTGTGCTGTGTGCTTGTGTATTTACTCTGTAAGCACATTCACAGTTACTTCCTTGAAATAAACTCCCAGAAGTGGACATTTGGCTCTGAGAAGACACACGTTAGTGCATTTGACACAGATTTTCTAAATTAGCCCACGTTGAGACCTGTTTGTGTTTAAACAATGCAAACAACATCAGCAGATCGACAAAGCATGTTATCAAATCGTCCCTGCACTTTTCTGACTACTGAGATGTAACAGGTTTTCACACATTTATTGTGCATTTGACTTAGTCATTGATCAGTGATTAATGGTTGCATCTTCTGCCTTCTTTCCACTTGGATAGGTGTGTTTTCCCATTTGACGGGGAGGCTAAGTAACTAGTTTTGCAGGCTGAAGAAAAAGAACTATAGTTTTATAACATATATATATATATATATATATATATAGAGAGAGAGAGAGAGAGAGAGAGAATATTCTGGACTTATTAATACCACCCTATCAATAGGACAAATCTTCCTTTATTATCCTATCTTTTCCATCTTTCTAATTCTAGATTTCTTAAATAGACATTGTGTGCTTCCAGAACAGCTTTAGAATCTACAGCCAAGGCATTGCCAGGCATCTTCAGACTGTGGCTTAAAAGCAGTAATTCCAAAATCTGTTCTTGACCTAACTTTTCAAGCGCAGGTTTCAGACCCCTTGCAAGCCTGTCCTATAAATTGTTACTACTCTTTTTTTCTAAAATGTTCTTTCTACTATCCTATATTGCATCTTCCTTTGAAGTTGAACTGATGTTCCTCTGAGAACATCTCGTATACCCTTGGATAGGTTGAAAGGAAGAGAGAGGTTCTTGCCTGGGTTCCTAGAATGCCCATAAAGGGATATCCCCTCTGCCCATTAAGGAGTTCCGTTTTGCCGGGCTCTGTTGGACCTCCGTGCTCTGCCTTGCTCCTCCTCCAAGGTCTGTAGACCCTTGTTGTGCTTCTGTATGTATGAAAAGCATCTAAACTGATCTGTGTAGACAGCCAACGTGGGTTTGGAGGGGTGGCCCAAGTCTCTTTTCCAGAAGAATATCCTGAAGACAAGCGGTGACAGGGTTTCAGGCGTTCCCACTCCTGCTTTAAGAAGGGTTCTTAACCTACATTGTGTTAAATGTTATGGATCGCTTAGAAAAGTCATCTTCCTCCCTCCCCTTCTTATTGTCATTTGAGTGAAAGTTTACAGAGTAAATAGATTTTCCATTCATCATTCATGTACATTTTGCATTATAACATTAATGACAACATCATAATTTAATCACACTTTTCCCATGTCTTCCCTGGGACCTCATGTCCATCAGTCCTTCTATCCTATCCCTTCCTGCCTTCCGAGCTTATCCTTGGCTAACTTGATGTCAGTCATTGCTTATTCTAAGGAGTGAGTGCCTGTCTGATGTTAGTGTTCCCTTTGAACAATAGTCAAGAAGGTCAGTCTTCTTTTTTTGCTGAAAGTTGAGTCGTAGGAGTGAGTTTTGGTCAAGTTTTGAAAGATAAGTAAGGATATGATCTCAGGACTTCCACTCAGCTTTATCGGACCAGTGAGACTGACCATTTTGATGGTTTTGAGTTTTATTCCACATTTATTTCCACTCTGTCCAGGGCCTTCTGCTGTGGTCCCTGTTAAGTGCTCAGCAGTAGTCGCTGGGCACCATCTAGTTCTTCTGGTCTCAGTGTCAGAGAGGTGGAGGATCACATGGTCCATTAGTCATTCAGACTGATGGTTTCTACCCACTTTTGGCTTTCTTCCATCTTTGTTTTCAAACTCAGAGAAACCATAATTGTTTTACCTTAGATGGCTGCTCGCAAGGGAAAAGATGCTGTAAATGTATAAAATAAAAACACATAGTAAAGCAATATATTAGGGAGCTCTGGCGGCCTAGTGGCAAGAAGCTGTGCTGCAATCCCAAAGGCATATGGTTCTAGGCCACCAGTTGTTCCACAGGAGGATGGGCAATCTCCTCCCATGTAATTAACTGCCTCTGAAAACCCTCTGGAGGGCCAGCTATGGGTCAGTTCTGACTTTGTGGTACAACAGCAAAGCATTATAATGAGATACAGTTATAAAACATACTTCTTGGTTAGCATATCAAATAACCAGGTCTAATAATGTTCATCATTTCAAGGTGATGATGAGCATAAAGGCTGTTTAAAAATATCTGTCTACAAAGATATCCACGGAAGAGTGTTGGTTTGAAAACTAAAGTGCGCCTGAACCAAGCTATGGTATTTTAGTTGCTTCCTAAGCATGTGGAAGTTGGACAATGAATATGGAAGCCTGAAGAAAAGTTCTTAACTTTGAATTGTAATGTTGGCAAAATGTATTGCATATTCCACACATTGTCAAAAGAACAAACAAGCCTTTCTTCAAGGAAGTGCAACCAGTGTGCTCTTTCCAACTTCGCCTCACTTGCTTTAGGCATGTTGCTGGAAGGCACTACTCCTTGGGAATAGACATCGTGCTGAGAAGAGTACAGGGGCGGAGGAAGGAGGAAGACTCTTAAGGAGATGAGTTAACACAATGACGACAACACGATGGGCTTGTGCGTGGAGATGGTGAAGAAGCTGCAGGATAGACAGGTCATGTCTTCAGTCTGTTATTCGCAGCATCACTGAGGTTTAGCTGACTTGATGGCACCTAGTTGCAAGGAATTATCAAACTATCTGTGTCTTCATGGCAAACAGAGTCACAATATCACTAATACTACCATTATTTACTACCTTCATAATTGAAAGAATGGCCTTTGAGTTGGAAGTGATTGAAATAAAGAGAATGTCCTGGTACCTGGATACCTTGAAATACATAGATCTTTTGGGTACAGACAGTTGGGACATTCTGGTAAGGTGGGTCCTCTCTGCAGTCCTCAAAGTGGAGATGGCAGGGTACATAGCACTACCCCAGGCAGGCGGGGCGTGACGATAGGCACATTTCCTGCCCCTACATTTCCTGTTCGAGGTCTGTGTGCCCTGAAGTTTCACAGTACTTTCTTCTCTTTGTTTTTATTACAGCTTTCTCCTCCCCCCCAAAAGTGTGAGATTTCAAATAGAATCATTTTTGCATGTACATTTTAATGGCATTTATTATATTCACAATGTTACACAACGATTGTCACTATTTACTTCCTAAACTTTCATCACTCCACACAGAAACTCTGTACCTTGTAAGAAGTCCGTCCCCATTCCCTCCTCCTCTCTGGTCCTGGTAACCAAGAATCTACATTCTGTTCATATGCCTTTTCTAGAACATATAAGTGGAATCAAAATATTTCTCTGCTTATGCCTGACTTATTTCACTTCAGTACTGTAGCATGCATGTATCAAGAGTTATTCTAACAGCTGAAAGATATTCTAGATGGCTCATGGTTTGTTCATCAGTCTGTTGAAAGGCACTGAGGTTGCTCTTCCCTTCTGGCTGCTGTGAATAAGGCTGTGATATATGCTGGTGTTCAAGTTCCTGCTGGAGTCCCTGGTCCTTTTGGGAGTGGAATTCTGGTCCATTGGTAATTCTGTGTTTCGTTTTCTAAGGAATCTCTGCAGTGCCTTTTCTTAGAACACTACACCCCCATCCCGAGGCTGTTCCAGACAGGAAGAGGTTTTCAAGGATTTGCAGGCTTTACCCTGGGACCAAAATATCACTACTGGATATGAACAGATGAAGAATAAGGAGGCTGGCAAGTGTTGTGATTTAAATGTGGTTGTGTAAGCAGTCATTCCAAATTTAACCCTGGGCTTCTTCCACTTTGGCGCACGTGCCGAGCTCACCTTTTCTCCTCTCATCCTGCACCATCTTACCCTGGTCTAGCTCTGAGGGTCAATCTCTCACCCCTTTGCTCTCCGTCTTCCAGGACTTTCTCACAATCTGTCAACCTCCTGACGATGTCTTTCTAGGACTGTTGTGGATTATTCTTTCTTACTATGGACTTTTAAAAATGTCAAGTCTCAAGCCTTTGGGAATAAGGAGAACGTGGTTTGTCTGATCCACCACTGGGACCTAATCTCTGAAATTAATCACTCATTGACATTTTCATTTTCTCTTTGATGAAAAATGCATTTGGAAAAAATGGAATCCATGTCTGACTGTTTTATTTAAAAAAATCTCTAGGTGGTTAAACTTTTTGTTAATGTTTGCCTTTTCTTGGTAATTTGTCAGAGAATGTCCTTTGTGAAGCATGTTGTTATTGTTGTTGTATACCGTAGAGTCAGAACTGACCCATAGCTTACACTCCACTGGGTTTTTGAAGGTAATTAGTCGCACAGGAGGAGACTGCCCATCTTTCTCTTGTAGAGCAGCTGGTGGCCTCAAACCCTGTGCCTTTAGGATTGCAGTGCAGCTTCTTGCCACTAGGCTACCAGAGCTCCCTAGGCCTATTGAAATTCAAAGAGCATGTGAAAGACACATGCTACTTGAGGCACAAGCTAGGTACAGAATATAAATCTTTCGTGTTACTTTTCCTAATCATATCCTCTAAATTTTTCATGTTTTTGTTTTACATTTGCCTAATTGTGAGCAAATAATCTGGGAGACTGGAATATATGAAGAAGAATGTGGCTTAAAGATTGGAGGAGGACCCATCAGCGGCCTGCATTGTGCAGAGAATACAGTCTTGTTTGCGGAAAATGAGAAGACCTTGAAGTGCTTACTGCAGAAGATCAAAGACTACAATTTTCAATATACATCTCGATGTCAAGAAGACAAAAATCCCCACCACGGGACTAATAGGCTCATGATAGATGGAGAAAAGATTAAAGTTTTTGGTGGCTTCATCTTGCCTGGCATTACCACCATCCCTTGGCATTACAGTCAAGACATCAAAAGCTGCAGTGTTTTGGGTAAGTGGAGAGGTTTCTACGGAGCTTCCAGATGAAGACATACTACGAAGTCTGTGAAGACGAGACGTCGTCTACCTCTGAACATTCAGTAATGAAATCCTACTGAACAGAAAAGAATCTTGTGGGCTGGATTCAAACATGTTAACAGTTGTGAAGAGATGCAGGTCCAGGCAATGTGTCATTCTGTTAGACAAGAGTTCACCCAGAGTTGAAGCCAAATGAACAGCAACAGCATTTTGATCTATTTGGTCTGTTTGCCAGCCGTCTTTCAGGATGTGGGCATCTCCTTGTAAATCACTCTCAACATCATGGTTGTTTTCAAACATTCACAAATACTTTAGGCAGAAGCTGCTTTGGGGACTCCTAAGGGAGAAGCTTTGGTGGCCTAGTGCTAAGGAGCTGTTCTGCAAATCCAAAGGCACACAGTTCAAATCCACCAGCTGTTCTTCAGAAGAAAGATTGGCAGTCTCCTCCCATGCAATTTACTCTGAAAACCTGCTGGAGGATCAGCTCCGAGCTGGTTCCAGCTTCACGGTACATGACAAGGTGGCAGCACACTTGGCTTTCGATGCAGACAGAAGCTCCCCACGTTCTCCCATGTCTTTGCTCCCTTTCTCACGTCATGTCTCTTTTCACAGCATGCTCACTGGGCTCACTGGGTCCACGTCCTTGAAGGAGGCGCTTCTTCAGCATTTCAGGTACCAGAAGCTGGAGATTGCCTATGCCATACACAAGCCATTTCCCTTCCTGGAAGGCCTCCGAGATAGACGCCTCATCAGTAAGAAACTATACACGGTGCGTAAAGTGGGCACTATCCTGGGGCAGCAGGGCCCCCACTAAGTATGCCGTATTGTTAGCTTCTGGAATTTGGTGACCCCAACTCTGAATGGCCATCGTAACAGAAGATGGAGGAGAATGGGTGAAAGGATATCACAGGGTCACCTCGTTCCCGACTGAAGAGTTTGTCACCCATGGTCACTCTGATATGAGACAAAGCAGGTCCTGGGAGCCATGGTTCTGTGGACTACAATGGCGCTGTCTAATAATTATGGATTTTGGTCCAGGGAAGTCTTTCATAACCTTTACTCTCTTTTCACAATAAAAGCCATTCCTCAGAGAAGCCTGCTTGACCTGCTACCTAATTTATGTGTTTTATTTAAAGTTTTCAGACACCTTATTGAATACTAAGTTTTGATAATCAAGGATTTATATTATTATACTTAGCAATTGTTGTTGCTGTTATGTGCATACTTTTCCTTTTTTTAAATTTTTTTATTATTATTAAATTTTATTAGTTTTAATGAACATTTACAGAGATTTTGGGTTTTCATTCATTCATTGTTGCACTGTTTTCTCCACCCTCCTCCCCAGTTCGTTCTTCTTTCCCCACCCATGTCTGTTTTAATTGTCCAATATGTGCATACTTTTTTCATTCGATCATTTATACACATTTTGTTTTATAGCATTCATTACAATTAAGGTAATTCATTAATTATAATGTCTGATCAACCCCTTATCTTGTATTGCCTTTCTCTTCAATCACCTTACCTATTTATTCCTGTTTTCTCTTCTCTCCCTCCTTTCCCATTCTTGGTACCTTATCCAAGAATGAGTCTTGTCTAATAACCTTGCCTGGTGACATTATACCCTGAAAGCCCTTCTGTGACTGACATGTCACTCAGCATAATTTCCTCTTTCATCCATGTCATGCAGTGTTTGATGATTTTTTTTTTTTATGTGTGTACCATCAAATCTGATCTGACTGGTACAGGAGGCGATTGTTCCTCCTTCTTCAGCAGAGCATCTGGTGGATTCGAACCACGCACCTCTGGGATTGCAGTACAGTTTCCTGCCACTAGGCCACCAGAGCTCACCTGTTTGATGATTTCTATATCATCATTTATTGTTGTTTCATACTAGAAGCTGGACAATGAGTAGGGAGGACAGAAGAAGAGTTGATGATACCTTTGAGCTGTGGTGTTGGAGAAGAGGACTGAACATTATATGCACTGCTAGAAGAACAAATAAATATATCTTGGAGAGGGTGCAGCCAGAGTGCTCTTTGGAAGCAAGGATGATGAAGCTTGACCTCGCATACTTTGGACGTGGTTGTAGGAGGGGCTATTCCTAGGAGAAGGATATGATTCTAGGAAGGGCGGAGGGTCGATGAAGGAGAGAAAGACCCTCAACCAGGTGGATTGGCCAGGTGACTGCTGCAGTGGGCGTTAGCATTTCAGGAAGTGTGAAATTGGCACAGAGTAGGATGGGGATTAGAACCACTGTTCACAAGGTTGCTATGAATCATACACCTAACAACAACAACAACAACAACAACAATACTCCACAGTGTGAGTGTACTATCCCGCTCTCCCATGGAGTCTGTGCTTGACCTCTGCAACATTTTCCAGAATTTTTAGTTGGACATTGTTGTAGGCTGAGTTCACTAGACGATCAAAATCAGTGAAATGTAGAGAGTTATCTCAAAGAACTGTCTGATGCAGTTGTAGAGCGTGGCATGTCTCAGATCCATGGGGATGCCGGAGCAGAGACTTCTCCTGACTCGTGTAGTTGTGGGGACTGGAAAACCCAGGTCAGGCTGCAGGAGCTGGTGAATCCCAAAATATCCAAATGGGATGGCAGGCTGCTGGCTCATGTTCCAAGAACCAGAGGTCTGAGGATGATGAATGGGATGCAGAATGGAGAGCTTTACCAAAAGAGCTACATAAATTGGCTCCAGATCTCACCCCCAAGAAACCTCCCTTTTAATGGATTGACTGATCTCAGCCAATCATATCATAGACGTCGAGTAAATCAAAGCAGATGACTCTCTGAGAGCCTTAACCCCCCAGACTGACACAGAACCTTAAATCCACATTTGTTTATTTAACATGTGGTTGCTACTTAATGCTCATCTTTCTCACCTGCCCAACGTGGGCAGCACCATGTTAATCTGACCACTGCTCTGTAGCCAAGGATGAGCTCCCTGAGCATAGTAGGTGCTCAGTTAATGTTTTCAAAGGATTCTTACCCGCTATGTTTCATTTGGGCCATGTTCTAAACAAGATATTTCCAGATGATCTCCCTGTGGCTGGATTCTATCCACGCCAACCCAAGTCCACGGCAGAGCAGAGTCTAAGGAGCAATTAGCAGAATGGTCACTTGTGACCAAGTGTTAGGTCCACTGCTGAAACATTCTAACTAAAGCTCTTAAGACATAAATACAGCTTACTTTGAATGCTCCTGGCTGGTGCAAATAGTTTACACATTTGACTGCTAATCAAAAGGTTGGGGTCTCAAGTCACCCAGAGGCATCTTGGGAGCAAAGCCTGGTCATCTATTTCTAAGACAACAGCCACTGAAAGCCCTGTGGAGCCCAGTTCTACCCTAGACATGCTTGGAGGCACTGTGGGTCAGAGTCAACAGCAACAAGTGAGCGTATGTTGACCTCACTTCCTTTCCTTGAAATGTCTCTTCCCTCAAATGTTCCTAAAAACTGATCAACTTTCTTTTTTCTTGTTGTGTGCCATCAACTCAGATCTGACTGGCACAGAAGGAGATTGACCCTCCTTCTCCAATGGAGAATCTGATGGATTTGAACCGCGCAGCATATCTTCTTGCCACCAGGCCACCAGTTGTTGTTATGTGCCGTCGAGTCATTTGCAACTCATAGTGACCCTGTGTACAAAAGCCCTAAACTCTGCTCTGTCCTGTG